TTAGAGCCAAGTTCAAGTTAGGTTCAATACCATTTGGTTCAAGTTCAAATTTCAATTTATTTGAATTCAATTCGAGTTCAAATTCATTTGGATTCTAATTACGATCATGTTCAAATTCTTTATGATCTTATGCATTGCTCTTTCAAGCTCAAATCAAGCCCAAATATAAGTCTTTGTTTGATGTTCTATTCTTGTTCAAGAACCCTGCAGTCCACAATTGATTCAATTCTGAGTCCTCGTAGTCATTTGTTGCAAGTACAAGCTTGTATTCAATTTCAATTTACTTATGTTCAAGTATTTTATAATTCATTTCATGTTCAAATATGAATCCAAGTTCAAGTCCACAAATTTATGCTTGAGTTCAAGTATAGTTTAGGTTCTTGATAAACCTCTTCCAATCGTTCAGATCCCCTGTAGTCCAACTCAAGTATTTGCTTGAGTTCAAATTGTCTAAGTTCAAGTTCTCAATTGATCAAATTGAGTTCAAGTGTTCAATTCTTTGAGTTCAAACTCTTCTTGCTTCAGTTTGATTTTAAGTCTTTTGTTCAAGTTTGCACTTAGCACATTAATGTCCAGTTCAAGTCCTTTGCATTTCAAACTTAATTTCAACAACCTCTCGGCGTCTCCCCTGTTTAGGGGAAAACCAAGAGGCGAACGTCCCCTTGACGCTACATAAACGCTTCAGGTAGGTGTCAAATGACACCGCAGTTACATTTTTTATTTTTATCTCTGCCCGCTACATGAGCGTTTAAGAATTTTTTTGTTATTATTATTATTATTTTTTATCCCCCTTGCCTCAAGCGTCGCATCTATTTCCCTCCCTACTACGTTATGTGAGCGTGTAATCGGTTTGCCGGCTCGTCGCTGGCATTGAAAAAGAATTTTTAGATCGTCGCAAGCGCCAAGCTGGTTTCCCTCCCTACTATGCTACGTGAGCGTGTAGGGGGTTTACCGGCCCGTCACAAGCCACGAGAGGGGTTTTGGGTTAGAAATGTTATACCTTCGCGTAGGGATGGCGAGGATATATATATATATATATATATATATAATGATTATTAATTGTGTGTGTGTGTGTGTGTGTGTGTGCGCTGAAGGGATCGAAAGGGTTACCTTCGGCTTGAAGAGGTGGAGGCGTCGAACTTGCTGAAAAAATGGAGAAAGGTTAGTGGAAGATCGACGTATGGAGAAGGAGATAGGGTCTGAGAAGCTTCGGCTTGCGCTGCCTTGGAGTCGATCGACAATAGGGCAGGTCATGGGTTTTGGAAGCTACGTGTGCATGAGAATTTCGGCTGGAGTGGATTCGAATGGGGTTCGGTAGCATGCTTGGAAGAAGCGAAGTGGGATTCGTGAGTCTTGGTCATGGAGGAAGAGAGAGAGGCAGGGAGTCAGCCTTGGATCTAGATGGAGGTAGGCATTTGTGAGAGCAAAAAACTTGAAGGCTTCATTCACTTAGTATTTAATGATGAGAAGAGCCGAGTTGAGGCAGAGCGTGTGTTATAGGACTGCAGCAGCGCGGTTTGCAGACTGGCGCGCGACACTGTAGCAGATATGGGGATTTTGGGCAGGATTTGCACAAGGCTCCTGGGATGAAACTTTTATTTTATCCAGTGAACATACCCAGAGGAAGGTTCGGTTTTAGGCAAAAAAGCGTCTGTACCGAGTTTTTTCAAAAAACTCGGTACATGCGCGAAAAACTCGGTACACGCATTTTTTTGCCTAAAATCGAACCTTCCTCTGCATACGTTCACTGGATAGAATAAAAGTTCCCTGGGATGGGTAGTGATAGGTAATGATTTTAATCCCCTTTTTTATTTCTTTTTTTTTTTTTTTTGGCTGCTTGAGTTTTGGTCAACACTTTAAAATTTCCTTATTAAACTTACTCTAATTAAGAAAGTATCATCTTCTCTTTGCTTTGTACTAAATTCAGGAAAATAAGTTAACTCCCCCATTTTCCTCATCTTAAATTTTATAATTGTGATTTTTTAAAAATTACTACAAAGATGTTTATTTGCTTATCCAAATAATATGTCATTTGCATATATTTAAACAATGAGTAAATCATCTCTTATTTTCTTAAGGAATAGGGTGGTATCTGCACTACCCTAAACAAACGATCTATCTATGAGAATTATATTAGGCCATTGATACCATACCCTAGGTGTTCACTTCAACCAATATAAAGCCATTTTCAGTTTGTACACATGGATGGGAAATGATGAATTTTAAATTCAGGAGGTTATTCTACATAGACATCTTCCTTAATAATCTCATTTTGAAAGACAATTTTTACATCCATCTAATATAACTTGAAGCATTTAAAGCATAAAAAAGCTAACAATATTCTAATGGCCTCTAATTTAGCTACAGAGGCAAAGGCCTCAAAATTAATACCTTAAATTTGATTATACTCGTTAGAAACTAACCTAACCTTAATCCTGACCACTTATCCATAATCATTCAACTTATTTTTAAATACCCACTTGGTTCCTATTACATTATGGTCCTTAGGTCTACTAACTAACTCCAAAATATCATTCATAACAAATTGGTTTAACTCTTCATGCATAGCTAGTTCATCAATTAAGATTTGATTAATATTTGTGGGTTCTACCATAGAGATGGATGCAAAATAACTAACCTCTTTTTTAAGTCCATACCTAGTTCTAACTCCTACTGAAGGATCTCCTAGGATGAGTTCCCTAATGTTACTAGATGATGCTGCAATCAAGAATCTCTAGCTTGTGATTTTGATTATAACAAACATTATTAATTAAAATTTTATTTTTCTAGCATATATATTAGATATTATTTTTCTATGTGTACTAACATTTCAAGTACATTATATGCCCCTCAAGATTGATCAAGGTTCAAGTTTGGGTAGCATAGGATGTCTTTCCAAAGAGTGTATTTTTCATTTTTCTTTATTTTATATTTCTTAAGTCTGGCCATGTAAGAACATATACTAAATTGGCAACCGTGCACACACACAAGGGAGTGAGAAAAGCAAGCTAAGATTTCTTGAACAAATCATACCATACAATTACGATCGTATTATATGATCAGTTATACAAATGAAAAACTTAATTCAATTATCATACATTGTTTAATATTCCTAAGGCATAAAAAGTAGCAACATCTAATGTCCCTCTACCATTAAATGCCCATTATAAGCCTCCTTAATCATCTAACATCATCTCCTATAAAGAGATGAATGAGTCAAATTGTTTGACATCATCTAACCTTTAATATTCATCATCGATCATCACCCAACAAATACAAAAAAAAAAAGTTCAATACTTGCCACCCACAAAAAAATGTAAGTCTTCACAATTAACCAATCTCTAAATTTACTAAAATTTTGATTATTACACAAATGTTTATCTTTGATGTAACATAATATTGACAGTAACATCAAAAATTTGATAACATTAGGTAATCAACTTGAACACTCTTCTTTCATTTCACAGATAATATCTAGAGAACCACCAAACTATTTATTTGTCCCCTAATAACCTAGACATCTTAAAAAGGGCAAATTTTAAAAGGATCAAGTTTAAAAAAAGAATTAAGTGGAGCATAATATAATTTTAATTTAAAAAGAAGCAAAAACGCACTGCAAAATCACGTTTTGTTAGAAAACGCAAAAAAAAAAGGTGTTCTAAGAGAACGTGAACAGTAATTGCGTTTTCTATTAAAACTCAATTTTTTAATATTTTAAATTCCATCTGAAAATTTTAAGCTTTTTTTTCAGGTTTTTATAGGATGGAAATAGAGAGAGCGAGAGAAAAGGTAGAGAGAGATGGATGGAGAAGGAGAGAGAGTGAGGCACAAATGGAGAGAGAGAAACAGAGAATGAAAATTTATTTAAATTTAAATTTTTAAATTTTTTTTTTGGGACATTTAGGCCATTAAAAGGCAAACTCACACACATAGACTTGAACCTTGGACCTCTTAGTTGGAAGCCTAAGCTCTCAACCAATAGGCCAAAGAGAGTTGTGTAATTTTAAAATTTTTATTAACATTCTGGATGAACCCTATTTTAAAAAATAATTTTATTTAAATATTTAAAAAATTTATTTAAACATATTAAAAAACTTTAGCGATTAAAATAGGATTTAGGGTTAAGTAGGAATGTAATTTAAAATATTTCTATATATTATTTTAAAATAGGGTTCAACCGGAATATTAATAAAAATTTTAAAATTTAAATTTAAATATTTTTTCATTCTCTTTTCTCTCTCTTCATTTGTGCCCCTCTCTTTCCTTCGTCCATCTCTCTCTACTTTTTCTCTCCCTCTCTATCTTTCCATCCTCTTAAAAGCTGGTAAAAAAGAGCTTAAAAATTTTAGATGGAATTTAATATATTAAAAAATTGAGTTTTAACAGAAAACGCAATTACTGTTCACATTTTCGATTAAAACGCAATTTTTTTTTTTGTGTTTTCTAACCAAACGTGATTTTGCAGTACATTTTTGCTCCTTTTTAAATTAAAATTATATTATACTCCTCTTAATTCTTTTTTTAAACCTGATCCTTTTAAAAATTTGCCCTCTCAAAAATCAACTTTCTACCACTATATCTATATGAAATATATTCCACAATTCATGTCTAACATATTTTATGAATATTTTCTCCCACTACCAGGAAATGAATCATTTGAAATATTAAACTCAGTCGAATTTCAACCAATCTAAGCCACTTGACGCTTTACCTTCTGAATTGATTTTTTTAATCATTATTTTGAACTTACATGTATATTCTCCAAAGTTTTGCTCAATGCTAAAATTTTCATGTACCTTTATAAATATCCTATCCCGTAGTAAGTATTAAGATTTTTCAAATGGATACAGGTCTAATTTTTTTTTCTTCATAGAATTTTCATGACCCTGTTCTTTTTTAATTAATTACTTGCACATGTGAACCCAAAAAAAAAAATGGAACAGGCCAAGATCAACCTTAAATCTTTCAGCCCCATTTATCGCACGTAACAATCACTCACATGAAACCAAAATTATGGAGCTTTTAAATATTCATTAATCACAAATCTAGAACGATACAGACAATGATTTTTTTTTTTTTTTGTATGCACAAAGACAACATCAAAAAATTGCGAACAAGTATAAGAAGACAAATGTCTTATAAATTGTAAACATATAAATTAAATATTAAAACTACGTGGAAATTTTATTTAGTAGCCTCCGCAGGCTTTTCCTTTGGGACGTCTGAGAGGTCTATATCACCAACACCTACAGGTGGACCGATGCTACATCGAGCTGTGTTATGTGTTGCGATTGCATCCTTTATTCTCTGGAACTGCACACATTTAGAATCACACCAACAGATGAAAAAAAAATCACATAGATCATGCAGTATGCATATTTTAATTCATAAGGATATTTTAATGATTAATGTTTAATGAAACTAAAAATTAACATTTACCTATGTTTTATATTACTTCTTTATAACTACTTTAAATATTAGACATATTAGAAGAATTCAGCCACATAGATCATGCAGTATGCATATTTTAATTCATAAGGATATTTTAATGATTAATGTTTAATGAAACTAAAAATTAACATTTACCTATGTTTTATATTACTTCTTTATAACTACTTTAAATATTAGACATTTAAGTTGTTTGATGAATGATAAAAAAAAATCAATCCTAGCCACTCTTTTTTTTTCTTTTCTTTTCTGGAGAATAATATAGATGATCCAAATCATACATATTATTCTTAGAATTGCGCATATGAAATGCGGATATACATATACCATCTAACATGCAGTCTCCGTTGAGACAAGCTAGATACCTATTTGGGATCATACATATGATTATTGTATGATCATACATATGACTGTCCAACCAATAATTTTTTAGTGTTAAACTTTTCATATTTTGATGGGACTTGATTAAAAGGTGGTAGACTGACTTGACAATTGAATGGTAACAACCTATTGAAAAAAGAAAGGGATTATAAGTGGTTTTTTATGGCTAAGAGTTGAATCATTAAATCTTTTTATAAAAGGCTTCTTTGAAGAATCACTTTTTCCTTCAACGACCTAAGCATAATAAGAAATATGTTTGCTTTCATTTCAAAATTTTCATCTTATTTTAAATTATAAAAGTCTAGAAGAGTTGTTGTGCTCATGCTTAAGGAGTGAACGAGTTTGGCTAGTGATGGTGGAATCCTAACATAGGTGAGGATTATGCATAGATATAGGTTAGTTGGGGTTGAAACAAGTACAAATTCTTGATACCTTGCATTTATATTCCTTACACTTGCTCTTTACAGTCCCACACTTTTACTTGCTTGCGTTTACAATTTTAATTTCCCATAAATTATAAAAGCACCAATCCCTACCCTCCCTCTTGTTGTATCATCCCTTCCCATTTAACAGTTTTGCTTATGCATGTAATCCTTTAATGTAAAAAACACCATTTGGGTATGAGACTTTATGAAATAAAAGTTATTTTATTAATTTATATGTGATTCTAATAGTTTATTTCTATCCATTTATGATTTAAACATCCTTTTGCTGTGTATGTAAAAAATTTAAACCAATCGGGAAAACTCTCCGGCTGTCAAACAATGCCGAGCAGCACTCTTCCAAGCCAGTTGGACCATTCCGAGAGCCCTTTCCTTGGTCAATCAAGTTACGCGATCCTTTGGCTAGCTAAACTTTACTAGAAGAATTCAGCTAGACCAAGTCGATGGTTCCACTTGAAGATCAAACAAATGATCTTCCTGTAAGTCATGCCTTGAAGCTCTAATGGCCCCTCCATTCTCAAATTTTAGTTGTGACAGAAGAAAACCTAAAATCATCATTGCTGGTTTCTTGAACTAGCCCAATTTTAGGTAGGTTTGCCAAGTTAGACCATTGGATAGTCTCCTCTTATTAAATTACATATACATATAGCAAGATGGAGATGATCGCCTTCAGTCATTATAAGTAAGCACTAATCAACACTCTATATATTCTCAAAGTAACTCTGGCAAAATCTATAAATTAGAGGCCCGAAATATTCATTTGAGGCATAAAACATAAACTTCAAAGAGGGAGTTCTACAGACTTTCAGAAATCCCCATTAAGAGCTATCATTCCTTTATTATATTTTTATTTGTTCAATTATCCTTCTTTTGGTGAGCAATCCTCTGTTTAAACAATATTGAAACTCTATTAAAACTCTACTAAAATTGTACTTGAGCTTCAGAAAACCATGAGAGAGAGTCTTGAGCAACTTGAGAATTCTCTCTTGCAAAATCTCTTTGAAAAAATTTCTTATTCAATTGAAACTACTGAATCAAATACTCCTTCCAACAAAAATTTCATCAAAACAGAGTCCTACATAGTCAAGTTTCCCTTTCTTTTCCAAGTGTTCATCATTCTTCACTTGTTAAAGATAATAGGATTGGTTCTTTTATAATCATCTTAAACGCATCCTTCTTTAATGACCTAAGGAATATCGTGATAACATTCTTCTAATCATTATCAATCATAAAAAATATTATTACAGATCAATCTATCTCACTTGATTTCTTACAATTATCAACATCTACAACTCGAAAGCACCAATGATTGATGATAAATCTCACACTAATCTCTTTTAATGCTAATTTTAGTGCATCCCCAAAGAACTAACACCTAATCAAGAACAAAACTCAAGACAACTCAAAGAAATTAAATTGGTGAATAATTTACTTACAATGATCAAATCAGAGACCAAATGAGCCCAAAATGACAGAAAATGCATGTAGCCCAACAAGCAAAATCCAGAAACACTAATATCATCCAAATGAAACACTTGGAAGGCCTTGAACTAGCATAATAAGCCAAAATTGACCAATTAGGGGTGATCTCGTGCAGCATTACCTAGTCAATCACCTTCATCGCACACAAGCTTCATGTTTTACTGAAACAGCTCTCACACCTCCATACCACCAAAGCCCATGAACTCCTTTAACTCCACAGGCACACCTAAAACCACAAAACCCACCTACATTTACTAGACCTATTTCTATAAGCCAATACCTACCTCGGTAGCATATGCAATCCAACAACATCACAAACCCTCCTAAATCACTCAAAACAAAAAATCAAACCAAACATACCAATCCTACAAACTAAGCCCACCGCCATAAGCAATTCCTTTACCATACCTTTCAACCCCACATACGCTACTAGTACTTTCAATTCACTAAGCCAAAACCTATCACTAGCATATCTAATCCTCCAAATACCACAAATGCTCAAAACCCTCAAAAAATAAACCAAATCAACCTCACAAACCCACTAAACACTCCTTCACCCACCCTTTCTGTTAGAAATCAGAGGTTTGAGAAAAAAAGCTTAACTTTATTGCATAATTTCTTCCCTATTTATAGATCTATACAAGATATCTTAATGAGGAAACAATAAATTAGAGATTTAATGTATAAAATCTCTAATAATTTCTTTCTTAAATTAAATTAGTTACTTCATTATGGAAAGAAGCAATTATCTCTGGCGTGATCCATGAGAGCTTCCCACGGATTGCTTTCTATGACCGTCAGATCCTTTGCACTTAGAACGGCTGGATTTCAACACTCCCCATCTAGTTGGGAAATAGAGATCTGTCATTCCCAACTTGTTAATCATTCTGAGAAAAGCAGAACTGTCCAATCCTTTGGTAAGGATGTCTACAAGTTAATCTTTTGATGATACATGATTGACACTTACTAGACCACTATCTAGTTTTTCTTTAATAAAATATATGTCCACTTCTATGTGCTTGGTCCTGTCATGCTGGACTAGATTGTGAGTTATACTGATTGCTAATTTGTTGTCACAATGTAGCTTCATAGGCTCATCCCACTTGACCTATAAATCTTCTAGGATTATTTTGATCCATAGTAGCTCACATATTCCTAAGATCATAGCTCGATATTCTGCTTCTGCACTAGACCTTGCCACCACATTCTGTTTTTTCCTTCTCCATGTAACTAGGTTACCTCCAAGAAATGTGCAATATCCAGAGGTAGATCTTCTGCCAACAGGTGATCCCGTATAGTCACCATTCATGTATACTTCTAGGGTTATTCCACGATTTCTCTTAAAGAGAATCCCTTTTCCTAGGTTTCCTTTAAGGTAGTGCAATATCCTGTCTACCGCTTGCATGTGAACCTGCTTTGGATTCTGTATAAACTAACTGACCATGCTTACAACAAATGTTATATCTGGTCTAGTTTTTGAAAGGTAGATCAATTTCCCTACAAGTCTTTGGTAGGCCCCTTTATCTACATCTGGATCTTCTCTAGCTTCCCCCAATTTAAGATTAGGTTCTAGTGTTGTCGGTGTTGGTTTACAAACTAGTTTACCTGTTTCTTTTAGAAGATCTTTGATGTATTTCTGTTCTAAAATATATATTCCTTTGCTGGAAAGAGCTACTTCAATTTCGAGAAAGTATTTTAGTCTACCAAGTTTTTTGATGTCAAATTCCTTTGTAAGACTTTTCCTTACACTAATTTTCTCCTTTTCGTTATTTCCAGTCAAGATAATATCATCAATATATACTAATAATATTATGACTCCCCCTGAGTCTGAGTGTTTAAAGAATAATGTATGATGCTCTTGACTCTGTCGATATCATTAAGGAGCATGAGTTTAGAGAATCTTCTGAACAAGACCCTCGGTGATTATTTGAGCCCATATTTGCACGCTCTGTTTCCTTTAGATTTTTCTTTAAATCATGGTGATAATTTCATAAATATCTCTTCTTCTAGATCCCCATACAGGAATGCATTTTACACATCCAATTGTTCTAGATGCCAGTTGTACTTGGCTGCTAGTAAGAGTAGTATTCTGACAGTATTCATCTAGGCTACAGGCGCAAAAATTTCTTGGTATTCAATGCCACATATTTGAGTGTACCTTTTTGCCACCAATCTTACCTTATATATTTCTAGTGTGCCATCAGCTTTGTAATTTACCGAGAACACCCATTTACAGCCTACTGATTTTTTCCCTATTAGTAGATTGACGATCTCCCATGTATTGTTCTTTTCTAGAGCCTGCATTTCATCTTTTATGGCATTTTTTCTATTTTTATCAAATAAGACCTTAGAAATATACTTAGGAATATGGATATCTTCTAATGTAACCAGAAAATTTTTATGTGTGGATGAAAAGTTGTTGAAGAATATAGAGTTGGTTATAAGGTATAGTGCTAAGCTTACCTTATTTCCAGGAGATAGTTCAGATTCTTGGATCTGCTTTGGAGCACAACTTGAGCTTGTACGCCTAGAGTAAACCTTCCCAAATCTAATGACAGC